AGTAACTATCGATCTATATTTTCATTACTTAGATTTCTCACTGTTGAAGCATTAAGATATTTTGTCAACTTTGGGATGTTATTTCAATAATAGGGGGCAGTATCATCTCTTTTGCGATATTCTTTATAGGATGTAATTTATTTCAATTCCAAATTCAACAAATTATACTGATTTCGTATTTGTCAAAGGTCTTACAAAGTTTATCTTACAAATATTATATATAGGCTGTTATAGAAGTCCCAATCAAGAGTGTAGGGGACACAACTCCAATTTAATTATTAAAATCTATTCAATTATGGTCTATACATTTATTTATTCACGGATATGAGTCATCTTTTTGTTGATAACCAAACATAAAATACATGTGATAGACCATTATATCAACGAGGAAATTGTATGATGCTCGTTCACTGATTTACGTAGTTTTTTCTATGGTCATGCTAAAATTATCATTTATATATACATTATAAAATCAACGATACGTAACAATTAAACAGCAGTATAAGGAACATAGAGCAATCACATGTACATCACACCAACAAAGCACTATCAGATCAAGATATAATACATCTGGTATACATTGTATTAGATGACGCACATGTTACCTACATCTTCATAGGCTGGATCAAAATCACGTGGAGGTTGACGATTTTTGATAATGACTAGGTCTTAGAAATTTTAGAAGTAGCAGGTCAATGTACATGCAACGTCACAATACTTTCTGCAAAATGCTGGATTTTCCTTTTGACCATTTTCATATGTTTTATCAACTTCAATGATTTAAACATCATTTAGCATCATAATTATTATAACAATTGAAAAGTTTTATTTCGGTACATTTTTGGAAGTATGGACATGAACTAGTGATATCTCTTTCTCAGGTTAATATAACCGCATATTCACTTCAAGAAAAGTCCATAATTGATAAATGGCATCGTAAACGATATACCACATCAGTTATATATATATACATGAACATGATTTGAACTTGATACCAATACAGACAAACAGGAACACTGCAAACATGCAAATATAAAAAGGAAAACTCCGAAAGTTAACTGTTTCTTACACCATATTTATACATATATTATATACATATACTACAACTATATCATGACCTCTACTCAAGTCAATGATATAATTAAAACACCCCATTCACAAAAACAAATCAACATATCTTAAGTGCAGCGTTACTTTACAGATAACATTACTGAGTATATAATTAGGTAATTTATATCAGGCACGGTATTGAATATAATATGTATATATATAGAAAATAGTTAAATGCAATATGATTGGTTATGATTTCTCCCATTATTGATGTATTTTCCCAATTAGCATTGGATAAAACAATGACTACAATGTAATCTTTATCAAATTACATCTATTCACACACCATAAATAACAATGATAACTGCATCTATACCATTGTATACATATATCATCCAAGTAATACGAATATATTATTATATATTATGCGATACTATTTTCAAGCACCTGTTGCTGTGTACAAAACTGATAAAATAATATTTATTCATAGCTGTGTATGACGGAAAAGGTTACTTTTATTCCTGACTGTTTGTGATATCGTTACGCACATGTATTTGTATAATCCATATATCTATCCCTACAAGTGTATACCTGCTTTGCTACGTTTGGTTTGGTTTTATTTTGTTTAACGTCCTATTAACAGTTAAGGTCATTTAAGGACGTGCCTCCATGTGTGTTGTGTATACGTGAATGTGTGTGTGTGCGTGTCGGAGACATGGTATTTTGGTGTACTTGCCTCCTTGTGATGGACTTGCCTCCTTCTGATGGCAACTTTAAAGTGCTATCTCACTGAAATACCATGCCGAAGGAAGGCACCCAGCACAGCACTCCGCACGGTTACACGATACTGACAACGGGTGAACCAGTTGTTGCGACTACCAAAACTACTGAACTTTAAGCAGGGTATAACGATTATCATTTTGAAGTAATTTGGTATGTCACAGCCTGGGGACAGAGCCTATTGCTTTCTTTACCTGGGCGAACGCTCAATAGTAAAGCCAGTATTGAGGTATTGCTACGTAATTACCAACACAGAAAGTATCAAAATTATAATTGCCAGCAGGTCTAAATGCATAAAAACAAAACATCAATCACTGTCCTACGTCAATTAAGGGCATTTTAGATAACAGTATAAAATTGATTTTAAATTTGTTTACCACTGTACGTCTGTTGTACGTCATTGTGTGCTTTTCGTTTTTGACGCTTAAACACTAATGTCAAAGGCAAGGTATTGCCAAGTTAGAGCATTATGAAAAGAAAGTTGCAATAAGATTGGAGGGCACAAACATCAGTTGAGCAGGGGGTTCATATTTTAGTCAGTCCGTGTAATATACAGGTACATTTTTGCGCAATCTCCAACCTGTTAGATTGAATTTCTTTTGAAATGTGAACGATCTTTCGCAAACACTGCAGATGCCAACCACAAAACAGCATATAAACCACAGATTTCGACTGCATACGAAAAAGGTTTTGTTTTTCATGGAAACAAAGACCAAACATTTCATCATACCTGATTTTCAATAATAAATAATGCATCAGACAAAAATAGTGTTTTAAGTTTATTTGAAAATTCCGTTATAGCAATCCTGTAGTACAGACAAACTATTTGTAAAGTTTGAATTAATTAACACGTTCACGAAGCATTTCTGGTAAACAAGGATCTCACAAACAAACACAAATGACTACGAGTTATCTACACTTGTTAACAACTGAAAAAAACAAATGATAAACAGGAACGTGGCAAGATGGTTGGCACAGGATGACTACCTGTTACAGGTCGTTAAATAATAAAACAAGAGGCCCAATGGGCCTGCATCGCTCACCTGGTATCAATCTCACACTTGTAATCTTAAAAGTGGACTAAAATACAGCTACAGGCAGAATATCAGTGTTTGATTCATAAGAACCTATTATAAGATTCAAACATATGACACCTGTGACCTTAAATGTCGAACAAGGACATTAGGTTGAAAGTTGGTCAGGGTCATTCATTTGACGAACTTGGTAGCCCTTCATCCTAGCATGCTACAGGCCCAATATCAGTACCCTGAGTTTTTGGTTATTGAGAAGAAGTAGTTTGAATATTTTACGACATTTTACCCCGGTGACCTTGAAAGTCGGTCAACATCATTCTCATTTGCAAACTTTGTTTCGCTAATTCCAAGGAAGCCACCAGCCAAATATGATGTCACAAGGCGTTTGGGTATTTCAGAAGAAGTCGTTTGAAAGTTTTGACATATTTGACGCCTGTGACCTTGACAGAAGGTCAAGGCCATTTTTATTCGCAAAATTTTGTTCGGCTTAAAACTTTGTTCGGTTTATTCCATGGAAGCTATGTACCAATTGTCATGTCTCTAAACCATTCGGTATTTCAGAAGTAGTTGTTTGAAGTTTTTTTTACATATTTGACCCATGTGACCTTGAAAGCAGGTCAAGGTCATTCATATGAACAAACTTGGTACCCCTTTATCCCAGCATGCTATTGGCCATATATCTTCACCCTATGTCTGTTCGTTATTGAGAAAAAGTTGTTTAAAGATTTTAACACATTTGACCCAAGTGACCTTGAAAGTCGGTCAATGTCATTTTTATTCGCAAACTTTGTTTGGCTAATTCCAAGGAAGCCACCAGTTAAATACAATGTCACTAGGCATTTCAGTATTTCAGAAAAAGTTGTTTGAAGGTTTTTACATATTTTACCCGGTTACCTTGAAAGTAGGTCAAATTCTGTTTTTTTCGCAAACTTTGTCGGGCTCCATATAAGGAAGCTACCAGCCAAATGTCATGAGTCTATGCCTTCTGGTTCTTCAGAAAAAGTCGTTTAAAGGAAAGTTGACGGACGCCGGACGGACGACGGACGCCGCGCCATGGCATAAGCTCAGTTGCCCTTCGGGCAGGTGAGCTAAAAATGATAAGTCCTTATAGCTAAAATGTTCACGCTATATATTTCTGAACTGTTTGAAAATGTTTTCCCTCATATCAAAAGAAGGTCATTGCGACATAGATTTAAGTATTTATTTGCATAGTTACAAATTTGTTTGAATATTTAAACAATTTATCAATCATTCTTCGAAACAAAACGAAAAACGGAAATTAAATATAGTTACGTAACTCAATTATTTGCATTAATGAAATGCAGATGAAAAATCAATTTTTCAATTTTTCAAATTAAGCTTCGTACAGTACCAGTGTATAGCATTCAGACACTTGAATTAGGCATTGTATTTTACAAAGCAAAGAAATATTAGCATGGGGTAGTCGTAAATATCGCGTTCTATTGTATAGTTTTGAAGCTACATCTTCACAATACCTTGTTTTTTTAAATATCGCGTTATATTGTATAGGTATGAGGCTACATCTTCACAATACCTTGGTTTTTTAGAATATCGCGTTCTATGGTGTAGTTAAAAGAATACTTAACGAAACAATACCTTATTTTTTTGAATTTCAACACAAGCATTTACGACTATATATACTTATTTTTAGTTACTTTGATGCTAAATCACAAATGTCATTCACAATAGCTAAGAGTGCAGCTCAATTGCAGTCATATGGAATCAGCAGTATATACATTCATATATTTTTACATTTGCGCTGCAATCCGCTATATGAACAATACCAGCAGAAATGAAACTCTCGTGACGTAACACGTGGTTTACTTACGACGTCATAGATTATCCTTTTTTCAATCAGAGTCTTGTCGCTTCGCTTCGGATAACACGGAGAATGACCCTGTGTCAAACGCTCAAATGATTACGTTTAATTATTGGCGGCAATTTTAGTTATAAAGAGCTGTTCCGCCAATGTCGTTTCAAGGAAGCATTAAATAAATAAATAATTTAAGAACAAATAGATAAAGTTAAACAATTGTTCTATAGTAAAAATGTAAATATATGGATTGAACGGTGTTTTTCTTATTTCATGCCAGTATGAAAATCAAAAACCGCCATTCAATCCCTATATTTAAACACTTTTTTGCCCCTTTTTTTCATTTTCCAGTAACTATCGATCTATATTTTCATTACTTAGATTTCTCACTGTTGAAGCATTAAGATATTTTGTCAACTTTGGGATGTTATTTCAATAATAGGGGGCAGTATCATCTCTTTTGCGATATTCTTTATAGGATGTAATTTATTTCAATTCCAAATTCAACAAATTATACTGATTTCGTATTTGTCAAAGGTCTTACAAAGTTTATCTTACAAATATTATATATAGGCTGTTATAGAAGTCCCAATCAAGAGTGTAGGGGACACAACTCCAATTTAATTATTAAAATCTATTCAATTATGGTCTATACATTTATTTATTCACGGATATGAGTCATCTTTTTGTTGATAACCAAACATAAAATACATGTGATAGACCATTATATCAACGAGGAAATTGTATGATGCTCGTTCACTGATTTACGTAGTTTTTTCTATGGTCATGCTAAAATTATCATTTATATATACATTATAAAATCAACGATACGTAACAATTAAACAGCAGTATAAGGAACATAGAGCAATCACATGTACATCACACCAACAAAGCACTATCAGATCAAGATATAATACATCTGGTATACATTGTATTAGATGACGCACATGTTACCTACATCTTCATAGGCTGGATCAAAATCACGTGGAGGTTGACGATTTTTGATAATGACTAGGTCTTAGAAATTTTAGAAGTAGCAGGTCAATGTACATGCAACGTCACAATACTTTCTGCAAAATGCTGGATTTTCCTTTTGACCATTTTCATATGTTTTATCAACTTCAATGATTTAAACATCATTTAGCATCATAATTATTATAACAATTGAAAAGTTTTATTTCGGTACATTTTTGGAAGTATGGACATGAACTAGTGATATCTCTTTCTCAGGTTAATATAACCGCATATTCACTTCAAGAAAAGTCCATAATTGATAAATGGCATCGTAAACGATATACCACATCAGTTATATATATATACATGAACATGATTTGAACTTGATACCAATACAGACAAACAGGAACACTGCAAACATGCAAATATAAAAAGGAAAACTCCGAAAGTTAACTGTTTCTTACACCATATTTATACATATATTATATACATATACTACAACTATATCATGACCTCTACTCAAGTCAATGATATAATTAAAACACCCCATTCACAAAAACAAATCAACATATCTTAAGTGCAGCGTTACTTTACAGATAACATTACTGAGTATATAATTAGGTAATTTATATCAGGCACGGTATTGAATATAATATGTATATATATAGAAAATAGTTAAATGCAATATGATTGGTTATGATTTCTCCCATTATTGATGTATTTTCCCAATTAGCATTGGATAAAACAATGACTACAATGTAATCTTTATCAAATTACATCTATTCACACACCATAAATAACAATGATAACTGCATCTATACCATTGTATACATATATCATCCAAGTAATACGAATATATTATTATATATTATGCGATACTATTTTCAAGCACCTGTTGCTGTGTACAAAACTGATAAAATAATATTTATTCATAGCTGTGTATGACGGAAAAGGTTACTTTTATTCCTGACTGTTTGTGATATCGTTACGCACATGTATTTGTATAATCCATATATCTATCCCTACAAGTGTATACCTGCTTTGCTACGTTTGGTTTGGTTTTATTTTGTTTAACGTCCTATTAACAGTTAAGGTCATTTAAGGACGTGCCTCCATGTGTGTTGTGTATACGTGAATGTGTGTGTGTGCGTGTCGGAGACATGGTATTTTGGTGTACTTGCCTCCTTGTGATGGACTTGCCTCCTTCTGATGGCAACTTTAAAGTGCTATCTCACTGAAATACCATGCCGAAGGCACCCAGCACAGCACTCCGCACGGTTACACGATACTGACAACGGGTGAACCAGTTGTTGCGACTACCAAAACTACTGAACTTTAAGCAGGGTATAACGATTATCATTTTGAAGTAATTTGGTATGTCACAGCCTGGGGACAGAGCCTATTGCTTTCTTTACCTGGGCGAACGCTCAATAGTAAAGCCAGTATTGAGGTATTGCTACGTAATTACCAACACAGAAAGTATCAAAATTATAATTGCCAGCAGGTCTAAATGCATAAAAACAAAACATCAATCACTGTCGTACGTCAATTAAGGGCATTTTAGATAACAGTATAAAATTGATTTTAAATTTGTTTACCACTGTACGTCTTTAACATAAATACGAAACTACAATAAGCACCATGTACAAAAAACTAAACAAATGTAAACATACATATAGACAAAATAATAGTATCGATAAACGCTTTAACAGCGTGAAACAAGTGTAAGCAATGTAAATGAACACTAAAAGAAAACAGTGACTGTGAAAAGTGTCCCACATCAAAATTTAAGAATAAAATTTCAATAAAACTTGCCATAAAATGCAAATTACATAATGTATAAAAGTCGTTTGAGAAGGTTATCATTTAAAGTGAAATTTGTGTTTTACCCTACAAAATATAAGAATTCGTATGTGCTCCAGATATACAAAGTTTAAAAAGTATTATAAACACTACACCCCCACCCCCACCCCCGAGGAAAACCTTTAAAACGATTAAAATAAAACAATGTTTTTTATAGAATATAGATTTTGTAGGAGAAGTGCCGCGGGAATATCACAAAAACACAGTTGAATTATGCCGAGCTCGAGGCTGTCACAAGTTCAGAAGCACATGATGTAATGCTGTTACATACAAAATCGATTCCTTACTCTTAGACTAAGAACTTAAAGGTGTTGTCACGTTATCCCCATTTAGATTACACAGTTGGAAAATTTACTTTATACAGGTCTCCAAATCAAAATCCTCAAAATAATGCACTTTGACCATAACAAATGAATTTTGATCACAGACACATGCAAAGTCGCAATACTCTACGACGTCATACTGTACTAGAGAATCTGCAATTTCAATCAACTGGTTTGTGATAGGCTTTCTAAATATACTGTTACTATTAGTCGTAGGAGGAAACTAAACACTTAACTGGCAATGATTGTTATCACGATGTTCTTACTGCTATATGTTTACAGTTATAACATGTTTTAACATTCTAACAAGTGATCTAACAAGTGCTCTTAGAGGGATCGTGGTACCGACCATCGTACCATCTTCATATGTTCTATGTAGGGATTTATCGTTCTCTTCTTTCCTTTTATCTGCTGGATTGCGTCATGTCAACATGAAATGAACCTTGTTTCTTTCCAATCAGTGCCAACATTCGTATTGCGTTACTAAGAGCCAAATGTAACCTTCATGTGAAATGTGAGACAGATCCCTGAAATGTTTCCTGACAAATATCGTTTACAACAATTGTTTAGGACGGATTGACAGAATGACGGGCGATGGACCACATAGGAAGTGGGATGGTGAGCTAAAAATAAAGAATAATATCGTGTTGTTTAAATATGATATCACGATATTAACATATATCCCGCCTACTCTAAACAAAGGGAGAAAGACAGACAATGCATACTGGCTGTGCGTTATATTAAAAAACGTACATAAACAATTGTATATGAACATGGTTGTGTAGCTATAAATACAACAAATGTGCGAAAACGTTATACATAGGTATAAATACAGATACTGTCGTGTACATCTATGATTTGAGGTCACTACAGATAACGACGTCAGATTATTGAAATTATGCTTACTATTTCAAAACATTTCAAGGTTAAAGTTAACAACAAAACATTTAAAGCATCATGAATACTTAAACAATATAATAGGTGAAGAAGAAATCTGAGCAATCAGTGATTTTGGGACACAGATATACGAGTCCTTGTATTCATGAAATCGCTCTCATACTCGAGCATGGATGCTGTCCTCAAACCAAATTTCCTGTAACTCGCCTAAATCATGTCAAACGACCAAAAAGACAAATGGATATATTGAAAACGGTATGTGTCTTTAAATTTTACTGAAGATTACTCGTATCCAGAACATGAAATTAGGCTCGGGCACAAAATTCATGTTTCAGCACGAGAACAGTTTCATGAAATTCGATCCAAAGACTGATGCTTTTCCTATGAGACTCATCCATATTTTCAGAACCCACTATATCTCCTAGTAAAGGACAAATCAACATTTTGAATATGATGTTCAGCACTTGTTTAAAAGAAATCAAATCTATAAAAAAAAAAAACAGAGCAATGCTTGAGCAATGTTTGACATAACGCCCCAAATAATTGGGAATAAAAGTATATAGCACATTTATATAAAAAGCACTGGAAAACATTCTGTATTACACAAATCTTCCTAGTCTCTGGCTGACCACAAAGAGTAAACCGTTTGAAAGCAAAACATTTCTATAGAAATATGTTATTGTAAAATTTCAATTTTCTAGTTACATTTAATAAGGTATACCGGTACCCCTTCTGATCAGATTAAAATCCTAACAGTTCAACAAAAAACAAAAAGAATTTAGACAAAAACTCCAACAATGTAAAAAAAAATCCATTCTCCTAAAATATAAAGACGGATGGCGGCTGTGTCGTAATCGTGTAAAATGACTAACTAAAAAATGACCACTCGTGAAAATGTTTGTTGAAAACGATATTGTCTGGAAAATGGCCTCTGTTCGCAGGATTTTCATGCATATGCACAACAATGTCAAATACAAAAATTAAAATGATCTCTTAAATAAAAAGAAACAATACAAACTTTTGCTCAAAAACAAAGTCAAGACTATTACTTATCGAACCTACAAGAGGCCTATATGCCTTAATAGCTCCTCTGCACATTACTTATAAGATCTTGTACTCTTGTATCTTGTAGAAGAGCAAAAACGGAGAGAAAAAAATCGATAATGTGGGAGGAAACTTGGGTACCTGGAGAAAACCCACGTGGTCGGGCAGGTGACTCCATACATTTTCATGTTAAATCGGGGAATCGAACTCGGCCGACTTAGTGAAAGGTGAGTGCTTTATCCATCGGGACCCCCGAGTACACTTTATAGTATAAGCCTCCAAAAATGTATTTGTCAAAATCATATTTCTAACATAACGTCCCCTCCCTATGTTCTGTTCCCACCTATCCCCTTTTAACCCCTGGGCGAAATAAACACTGGGCGAAAACTGATTTCATTGGCGAAGGCTTGCCTAGGCGAAAATTCCCTGGTAAACAGTTGTCTCCTTAGTCATGGGAATCGAGTTAAGTTATGATACCCGCTACCATAGATGAGTGCTCACCATGTTGTATATAGATTTATATATCTCAATTCTCAGAACCTTCCTTATGTTATCCACCGTTTGAATATATTTGTTGTAGAGAACTTCCCAGTTTGTCCCTTTTCAGAAAGGTATCAAAGAACACTCTCCTTGTTGTTACGCCTGTTTACGTATTTGGTGTCGAAGAACCGTCACGTAAACTCCACTATTACATCATCTGAAATAACAGAAGCTCCATGAAGTTGTCAACGGTGAGATGACACGGGTCAAAAACCCCATAATGTCCATTAATGTGTTGTATACCATTGTCAATTGTTATATTCATTTAGTATTGCAATATATTACGTTGCTGTCTTGTTACATGTACACTTTTGTATCTGTTACATGAAGAACCTTCCCAGTGTGGTCCACCATTAAGATATCTTTTATACTGCACTGAATAATTCCGAGTTTAGTGTATTTATGTTGTTCTTTCTGTCCTCTATATGTACATAATTTTACGTCATTAGCTATTTCAAGACTTTTCACTATTTACTAGATGTAGTCATTGCAATTTGTCCATTGCAGGCTATGTTGATGTTATACTTGTAGCACACGTCCAAGGTTGTCCACCGTTACATGTATTTGATTTCGTAGAACTTGATTGTCCCATTGTTGTGAGCTACAGCCAGAATCCTTTGGTCCATACTTATACTGATGGAATACTTTATCTCTGTGTAACCCAGCCGTTCCAAACTGATATCCCCACTCAAACATTTGCGTATGTAACCTGAATGTGATGTTATATACACGTCCCCACATGAAGCATCAAGTACGAGAAAACTTTTCAGCAGGGGAAGTATTGCGATTCCTTGCGGTTCCTTCAGTGAATGAAACTCATAACGTCGCAAAACCTCAGGGGCTTTTCTGGTGTTTTCAATGTCGTAAACCATGGCTTCATGGTTACGAATATCACAAAATGCCAAGAATTTCGACCCTGTTATCGCCAAACACCTAGGAACCGCAAGAGAGTTCTTCAGGTTGATGTATTTTATAACTTGTCCTTGCATGTTTAAAATATCAATCCTTGCTGCTGAGAATGGTGGCCCCCTTCCACAAATTAGTCTTTCACTAGTTTTACAATACCCGATACTCAAATACTTTCCACTTTTCATTGTCCTTTGTAGAGTAGCTGGCGGGCCACTTGGACTGTGAGAAAAATTTACGAAGAGTAGCTTTCCTTCATTCGGAAAGGTCACCACACACAATGTTTCCGTCACACCGGCGACATCCCACGGTACCATTCTCTCGAACATGTACTGAGCGACCATGTTCATAGAATCATGCATCACACGTCTAACACAACAGTGTGTTTGGTCGACGACGACGAAGAATTCTCCGAGCATGGCTATACCCACTAAGGAAGGAACACGATTGTTTCCCATTATTTTTGTATCCATTTCTGATCTAAATTTTAACATGGTAATAACTCTTGCATTCGGGGGAATAGGAGCCAAGGAGCACGGAGGCAGTGCATAGTGGAAGTCAGATGGATGAGAGGAAGCAGCCATGGACACAGGAGGTGCAGACGGTTGTAAAGGGGGAACCTGAGTATAAGGCGTGGGGTAAGGCCTAGGACTTGCAGAAGGCGTGTACGGATCATTGAAGGTCGGTACTAGTGGGTTGGATGCCGATTCTTTGCGTCGCACAATGGATGTTTTGAATGGACGTCGTCTTTGTATGAAGGACTGACGGACTACACTTCCGTATGTTGGTAGTGATTCGTCATCATCAGGTGGAGACGGTTCTTCTTGAGCATGTTGTCCGATTAGTGAAGACCCAGATGCCTGCTGATCAAACCCACCTTCCTGTTCAAATGTTACAGCAGATGCATCACTATGACAACTGTCAATCACTTCGATTCTCACGATATCTGTGTTGGTTAGTTTGTCCTCCAACTCTGTGTTGATAATGAATCTTACATTGTAGTCGGTGTCGACGTCTGATTGTAGTTGTGACAGCATCTTTTTAAAACCTTCACAATCTTTTCGTAAGTGATTTATTATCACCAAGTTTTCCGCTGCATTTGTAGAGGTTCGTTCTTGTACAACATGTGCAAGTCTCTGTCTCGATTCTACTGAGGTCACCATCTTTGAGCAAACACCTATGTCGTTCTCCAAGTGTGCTTTCTCCTTCTCTTCCAGTTTCATTGTTTTTTCTAGTACTTCCCGTTCTTGCTCCTCCAGATATTTCACAACCTTTTCTTTCAGATCTGAATAATATAACTTGATTGTTTCAACACGCTCTGGGGAGTTGTGGAATATGTTCCCTAGTTTTGAATTTAGATCAGTGTGAACAGTTTCTGCTTCAGACAGGAAATCTGTTAAATCTGCAGTGACTTTTCGGATGTCGTTATATGCTTCCATACGCATTCTCTTGTCTATTTGGCGCAGGTGACAGTGTGGATGCATCTCCCGTTTACATTGTGTGCACACAAGCAGGTTACAATCTGGACAAAAGTAACCGCACAGACTGTCAGTATGAATGGTGCATGGTACTCTGTTGATTCCATCTGCATTATATATTGGCTGCGGTTTCTCGCCGTCTTTGAAAAATAGGCGGACATCCCTCATCAGAGAATCCTCCTCCAGTATCAGTAATGTATCCTGGGTAATTACTGTTTCCTGTTCCTCTGGCAAATGCTTATAGTGACACACTGGACACGGAAACGAAGCTTTGCCAAAGTAGTCAGTGATGTAGACTACCAGACATTCGTGGCAGAAGACATGTTGACATTTGAGCTTCTTTGGGTATGTAATAGGTTCCTGACATATCCCACACTGGTAAAATGTCTGCAGGACCTCCTCCATGTCGTGTAAATTAGGTTACGAATAAGAATTTATCTCAGCAGTTGTATGCTTCATGTTTTCATTGGTATGGGATCGACATCGAAACAAAGCATGGCTTCATTACATCTGCAAAACAGAAAAAAAATACATTAAGTTTTATGGTGACGCACTTTGTGCTTGCCAAGTTGTACTTTGTTAAGTTTTATCAGACGGTCATCATACTGAAATAGCCAGCATTGAGACCTACCTTAGGAAGTCCAAAAAGTGGTTACTCAACCCAGGTGCTTTCTTTATATAGGCTTAGTTCACAATGAAAACACTTCTACGGGGCATATGAAAGTGATCTTTTAGTGGAGGTTGTCACATGAGCAGATTCGAGTGTTTACCCAATATTCCGTATTACTGGAGCTAGTTTACAAAGGCTTCTAAAATTACACCAGTCATTGCGTCATGTACGCAACTACAGGTCAAGTACAAGTGGAACACCTTATATTTAGATATAAAACAGATTGGTATTGTATTTGCAAACCATGCGTCTCCTAGTATACATGTTTGCTGATACTCTTCCGGAACAAAAAGGCCAATCAGATTTTAATTAACAAGTTCATGTATGTTATAATTCGAGAACAATTTGATCACCTCAGTTTTCTTATTGGCCAGATTAAGTAAAAATGAACAGCACTTTGTTTGGAATAAATAAAACAGGAGGATATCGAAGTGTCAAAACTATAATTCGAATTCAAAATCGATAAAACTAGGGCAAAGCTCGACCAAAGGAAGGATTTACATGGACACTCTTGAAAATGTGCATGCAGAAAAAGACCAGGTGTTTTGGAAGGAAAAGCGTCTTAATAGATCTCAGATATGGTGCAGTTGAAAACAAGTAAAAAAATGTCTCGGCCAATCAGAGGATACGATAGCTGTATTTATTATGAAAAATACTAAAATAACCAGCACTTGATCAAGACCATGAGAGTGTTATTCATGTCGAAGTGTGCTTAGATGGCTAGATCTGACCAGATGGAAGTTGGTAAGTCACAAATACCGCAGATAACAGGTGACCATCGTTTAGTGGACTTTGGTACCGGTTCCCTAACATGATAACGACCATATTTCATTACTTTGTTACTTTCACTTTTAAGCATTATTAGAACAAGTGGTTTTAAGAATTTATAACACATTTGACCCCTGTGATATTTTAACAAAATGCATAGCTAGTCAATCACGGCAACCCATTCTGTAAGGCAAAATATCATAGCTATAGACTATTGGTTATTCTGCTGAAGTTGGTTAAAGGCTTTAACACATTTGACCTCATTAACCTTGAGGGTCAAGGCCGTGCTCATGAAAATACCTTGAGAGCCCTCAAACCAGGACATCACAGGAAAATAATCCTGATGCTTGTCCGTTTGGTTTTCAAGGGTCATGTAAGGTTTTAACACATTTGACCCCAGTAACCTGAAAGTGGGTCAAGTTCATTCAACAAATTTGACATCAGCCTTTCATTACAAGCCAAATATCATTAACTTTGGCCATTTAAATATTTTGACAAAATGACCCCTGCGACATGGAAGATGGGTCAATGTTATTCGTTTGAACCAAATTGAGCGTCCCCAGCAAGCTACAGGCCATGTCTGCCTTATGAATTTAAATAGGAAGTTATTTAAAGTAAAGGATGAAGCCAACTGAAAAATGGACCAATTTGAATAAACTTATCAGTAGGGTTGGACATAGAAAGGAATACATTAATCAGGAATTTTGATAATGCAGAATCTGTTTGTACAATGTGAGAATGAGAATAGGGGTCAATGTGTTAGTCACGGATGAAGAATAAAGCAAAATGTATCTAATAAATACCTTTAGGTCCAACATAAGTCTGTAACATACAGAGGAGATGGCTTTTTTTTGCACACTACAGCGGTACAACCTGAATCGCACCAGTCCGGAGGATTCAGTCACATCTTCAGCTTAGACTCTTTATTATTTTCATCATCTAATGATCATATTATGAAATGATGAATCAAAATACGACAGTAATTTTCAAATGAGGTCTTATTTGAATATCTTTCACTCGACTACCCCTGATAGACATGCGCCTCAGCCCTATTGGTGGTTAGCCCCTTCTTTTTTAACCCTTTTTATAATATATGGGTCATTTTATGAAATGTTGTTGATAAATACAAGAGTAAGTTAAGATGGCTTTTGAAGGTTTGCACTGTGTGACCTATAATTGCCCCACCCCTCAGAGGTCATGATCATCTTCTTGTTGATTACCACTTAGTTTCATTCAAATCTGACTGACAGTTTTAGAGAAGTTGAATATGACTGTTTATGCATACATAAAACAACAGGCAGTAGACCATCACAAGTAAATCATGTCACCTGAGTGACTCAGTGGACTAAATCTAAAAAAAAAAAAATCTTTTCACTTAAATATATATACAGAAAAAAATGCAAAACAAGAGGCCCGATGGGCCCGCATCGCTAACCTGGTATTATTCACTACACTTGTAATCTTAAAAGTGGACTAAAATACAGCTACAGGCAGAATATCAGTGTTTGATTAATAAGAACCTATTAAAAAATTTAAACATATGACGCCTGTGACCTTGATTGTCAAACAGGGACATTAGGTTGAAAATGGGTCAAGGTCATTCTTTTGAACAAACTTGGTAGTCCTTCATCCCAGCATGCTACAGGCCCAATTTTAGTACCCTGTTCCTTTTGGTTATTTAGAAGAAGTTGTTTGAAGATTTTAAAACATGTGACCCATGTGACCTTGAAAGTGGGTCAACGTCATTTATTTAAACAAACTTGTTAGCCCTTCATCCCAGCATGCTACAGTCCCAATAGCAGTACCCTGGGCCTTTTGGTTATGTAGAAGTTGTTTGAAGATTTTAAAACATTTGACCCATGTGACCTTGAAAGTGGGTCAAGGTCACCCACTTTCAAGATCACTGGGGTCAAATGAATATGGGTGAAGGTCATTCATTTGAACAAACTTGGTAGCCCTTCATCTCAGCATGCTACTGGCCAAATATCATCACCCTGACCTGTGCATTTTGGTTATTCAGAAGTTGTTTTTAACATATTTAACCCCTGTGATCTTGAATATGGATTAAGGTCATTCATTTGAACAAACTTTGTAGCCCTTCATCCTAGTTTGCTTCTGGCCAAATATCATCACCCTGGGCATTTTGGTTATTCAGAAGAAGTTGTTTAAAGGTTTTTTTTATGACAATTGACCCCTGTGACCTTGAATATAATCGAAGGTCTTTCATTTGAACAAACTTTGTAGCCCTTCACCCCAGCATGCTACAGTCCCAATAGCAGTACCCTGGGCCTTTTGGTTATGTAGAAGAAGTTGTTTGAATATTTTAAAACATTTGACCCATGTGACCTTGAAAGTGGGTCAAGGTCACCCACTTTCAAGATCACTGGGGTCAAATGAATATGAGTGAAGGTCATTCATTTGAACAAACTTGGTAGCCCTTCATCTCAGCATGCTACTGGCCAAATATCATCACCCTGACCTATGCATTTTGGTTATTCATAAGTTGTTTTTAACATATTTGACCCCTGTGACCTTGAATATGGGTGGAGGTCATGTATTTGAACATTTTTGTAGCCCTTTATCTCAGCATGCTACTGGCCAAATATCATTTCCCTGGGCATTTTGGTTGTTGAGAAGAAATTGTTTAAAGTTTTTAACATATTTGAGCCCTGTTACCTTGAATATAATTGAAGGTCTTTCATTTGAACAAACTTTGTAGCCCTTCACCCAGGCATGCTACTGGCTAAATATTATTTCCCTGTGCAGTTTGGTTATGGAGAAGAAGATGTTTAAAGTTTTTAACATATTTGACCCCCTGTGACCTTGAAAATTGGTGAAGGTCATTAATGTTAACAAACTTTGTAGCCCTTCATCCTAGTTTGCTTCTGGCCAAATATCATCACCCTGAGCATTTTGGTTATTCAGAAGAAGTTGTTTAAAGTTTTTTTAAGACAATTGACCCCTGTGACCTTGAATATAATTGAAGGTCTTTCATTTGAACAAACTTTGTAGCCCTTCACCCAGGCATGCTACTGGCTAAATATTATTTCCCTGTGCAGTTTGGTTATGGAGAAGAAGATGTTTAAAGTTTTTAACATATTTGACCCCCTGTGACCTTGAAAATTGGTGAAGGTCATTAATGTTAACAAACTTTGTAGCCCTTCATCCTAGTTTGCTTCTGGCCAAATATCATCACCCTAGGCCTTTCGGTTATTAAGAAGAAGTCGTTTAAAGTAAAATATTGACGCCGGACGCCGGACGGACGGACGACGGACGCCGCGCCACGGCATAAGTTCCCTTGGCACTTCGTGCCAGGTGAGCTAATAACATGCCTTTTTGTCTATCGGATATGATTTTGCCGACTGTATCAAAAAAATCTCGACGTGTAAACTACTAACATTGTTTGAGTAATAGGTGGGCATGATTTTATTCATGTGTGCTATTTATAGCTACTCTTACACATCACAAAGGTTACACTGGGAAACAGTTACTGAACTACACTTTATATGTGCGCTCGCTTATAGGCAGTGTCTATTTGCCATTAGCTACTCTAAAACACACTGTAAACAATGGATGTGATTCAATTTGTAATTTTCACAAACATTTAGACATTCGATTTAACATATTTCTGAGCACGATTGTACCTCTTTGTATTTTATTGTATTATGTTGAAATAATATGACGGATGCTTTTGACAAGAGTTGCAGTCGGCAGTAACCGGTCCCCGCCCACATTCACAAGTTCGTTGCTAAATCTGCATTTCTATCTGACTCAGTATGTACACGGACATTTATCATGCAGTGTGTACAGTAAATGAGTATCACAATACATAGTTTATCAAAAAGATGCAATGCACATATACCTTCATCAATTCTATGCTCTTTGTGTATTTGACAATATAGCCATCAGCACAGTACGGTAAATCCCATTAGGTAACAATCCTTAAGGACCTGTCAGCGTACATCCCAGACTGTACTCGTACTTGCCTGTACCGGAAGGACGCGACTGTATTGGTGCGTTCGTTTTGCGTTGTTGTGATTAGTACTAAATAAAATCTGTATCTGTATGGATACGCTGATACATTAATTACTCGATAAACAATGGAATCTTAGTGATAACAAAGCGGCATCATAAACGAGTACTTAAAAAAATCAACACTATTATTTCGCTGAATTTAGATTTAGGATAGTTTTTTTCTACATTAAAAAATATGTTGCATGCACGACGTTATCCGTTTGTACACATCAGCATCTGCTCTTAATATTCGTTTATATTCGTTTATTTTCCCTATGTTGATTTCCGTAAAGCATTTGACACTGCCGTGAAGATGGGTTTATGGGCAAATATAATAAAAAGTAACAATATTATGCTGTTAATCTAATAGAATGGTAATCCATAGATATTATTGTTGACGTTAAGAGTTTACTATTTTTTGGAAGGCTAACGTTATGAAGAATGGGTAGGAATACGTCATCATTCAAGATCTTTTTAAATCGACCAATTGCAGCAGTTCTGTTGACGGATGTCAGTTGTTTGATTAAAAAGTAGAGTTTCTGTCCAGATTCATAAAGAATAATTCCCAAGTATAGTCTGAACAAATATGTGCATGAATTTATAGATCATTGTAATTTTCCTGATAAAAGACACTGAAAAAGTCTCTGTTTTAACCAAACAGGAAAATGATTTTAGGGAACGTATTTCAAGTGACTATGATTTTAGCAAATTTAATAATATTCACGATAAGCAACACAATACATCTCCAGCACACACACAGGCATACACACATAGGGAGATATTAGCCAGGTGGCATAGGACTAGTAGTTAGCGTTAGGCAGCTCCTGCGAATTCCTCAATATTGTATTGATTAATATATATGCTAATTGTATTGACTGTATAAAATTGTATAATATGTACTGTAAAGCGCCTTAGAGTGGCTTATGTTAGCTAGATAAAGATAGGGCGCTATATCAAATATTGTATATTTATTTTATTTTATTTTATAAGTTACAACCGCTGTTATAAAAAATACCTTTATACAGAGATACGATACATTGTATAATGAATCGAATTGTAACAATTAGAAATAGTAGAAGTACTAAACTTTGTCACAAGTGTGGTGTGCTTTACCAAGATCATACAGAACATGTTGTATTAAGATGTGATTTTACGAGTACTTTTAGAGATAAGCTAAAGATGGATATAGCCAATATACACGACCTGACATTTAGTCATTATATAAATTCATTATCTGAAGATGAAATTATGTATCATCTGCTTAGAGGCGAAGTTAACTTCAGGTTAGAAAATAATGAGTTGGAAGAATTTAGAATTACTTCTGTGAAATATGTCTATAATTTGTTATCAATTTACAGCAGCTGATTTGAAAATAACTCTGTATACATGTATCGATATGTTTAATTAGTAACTACAAAATTATTTATGACACTTTCTTTATTGATTTATATTGCATATAACCGTTAGAGAGAATTTTATTGTACAATGTACACAAACCTTACCATATGTCCAATAAATAACATATATACATTTTTTGTGACATGTATGTAATTATCTATTGTTTTGATTTTAAACTTGCTATTGTATTATTTTGTCTTCATTGATATGAAACATATTGTAATATTCATTTGGAGGAATTAAAGATGATAATAAAGCCTATAACACTGTCGTGAAGATAGGTTTAGGGGCAAATGTAATAAAAAGTAACATTACATGAAAAACTTTCAAGTGATATATAACATTTACACGAATACAAAATCGAAGGTTACAAACATGAATACTTCATCTGATTTCTGTAACAACGGGGTAAATCAGGGTCAAGGGAAAAGATCTCTCTCCGTTAACGTGTTCAGTCTATCTCAATGATACGGAAATATGTTTTATCGAAAATAGTATGGAATGCCTTTTAATAATAGGTTTCTATTGACCTGCGTATTCTAAATTTCATTACGTGATCAAACGTACGCAATACTCAAATCTCAATTTGAATTTTAGACCAAATTAAGTGAAACTTAAATGCCAAAATAGAATAACTGTGTGTTAATTCAGAACATCTAATACACATTACCTATTAAAACTAGCAGATGGTCTGGGATACCACGGTATGAGAAGATATGTCCATTATGTTTGTCTGGTGTTGGTGATAAGTATCATAATTCGTTTACCTGTATAAAAATTACATCTGTCAAATTAAAAGTAAATATACACCTCACAACTAAAATGTCGTTGATCAGAATAAAATGAACATACCAAGGAATGAAGTTCATCTTCAAAACAACTTTTGGATTCTGACTTTTGTTATCGTTATGAGCTACAGAAGGACGATTCACCACAACGGAAGTTAGTTAACAACTGCCTATGTCTAAAATTGACCACATTAAATACTAGTATATGATTCTGGTACAAGAGCTGATTTATACGTTCGATAAGTCCGTAGTTTGTTACTATTAAATTGTCCCATATCGTTCCACAGTTCTTGATACCAATTGTTTCCGTCAACTGTTTTAAATCTAGGTTTGGATAGGTTTAAACAATGACCCACATTCGGACTTGTGATTATGACCTTTACATTTTTTCTACACGCATCAGTAATGTTATTGTACCGGTACAGTTAGGGATGTTGACCTGTACACTCAGGGATGCAAATTTAAGTTATGTTATTGTACCGGTACAGTTAGGGATGTTGACCTGTACAGTCAGGGATGTAAATTTGAGTTATATCATTGTACCGGTACAGTTAGAGAGGTTGACCTGTACAGTCAGGGATGTAAATTCAAGTTGTTTTATTGTACCGGTACAGTTAGAGATGTTGACCTGTACAGTCAGGGACGTAAATTTAAGTTATATTATTATACAACTTAAAGGAGTAGGGCCACAAAGGGCCCTAAACGGCCCTATTCCATAATTTGATAAAATTGTGTTACATGTATATTCATCCATGGTATTTAAATTGATTTAATTCAAAGTTTCATATCATTTCGTTGAACGGTTTAAATTTAATGAGCATTCAAACACACATACAAAATTGAACAAAAACAGAAAAAAACTACGTCCTTGACTGTACAGGTCAACGTCCCTAACTACCGGTACAATATTACAACTTAAATTTACGTCCCTGACTATACATGTCAACATCCCTAACTGTACCAGTATTATAATATAACTTAGATTTGCATCCCTGACTGTACAGGTCAACATCCCTAACTGTACCAGTATTATAATATATCCCTGACTGTACAGGTCAACATCCCTAACTGTATCGGTACACTAATAGAACTTAAATTTGCATCCCTGAGTGTACAGGTCAACATCCTAGCTGTAACAGTTCAATAATACAACTTGAATTTACGTCCTTGACTGTACAGGTCAACATCCTAGCTGTAACAGTAGACTAATACAACTTAAATTTACATCCCTGACTGTACAGGTCAACATCCCTAACTGTAATAGTACAATAAAACAACTTAAATTTACGTCCCTGACTGTACAGGTCAACATCCTAGCTGTAACAGTAGACTAATACAACTTAAATTTACGTCCCTGACTGTACAGGTCAACATCCCTTACTGTAATAGTACAATAAAAAAAAAAAAATGTACCTTCCTGACAGTACAGGTCAACATCCCTAACTATACCGGGTCAATAGTACAACTTAAATTTACATCCCTGACTGTACAGGTCAACATCCCACTAACTGTAACAGTATAATAATATAACTTGAATTTACATCCCTTATTGTTTCAGTACAATAAAACAATTTACATCCCTGGCTGTACAAGGCGGCTATATCGTTTCATAAGCAAAGCGAACGCGTCGCGGTACGGTAAAGTGTTTCCGGTACAGGCAAGAACCTGTACCTGCGCGGATGTATGCTGACAGACCCTACTCTAACAATCAGCGGTCTTGCGGTTTATTCAGTCGTGTTCTATATATGTGTGCGTTACAGTTAGTAAAAGCGTCAACGATATAAAGGCGTGAACTTTTCAAGTTATATCAAGGGCGCGTTCTATTCTATCGTTTTAGACTTACACAAGTCACGATTAATATAACATTTGTGAAAAGTCAAGAATGTACCATGTATGACCCTAGCTCTGGAACTGTACTATTCTATGAAATATAGATTTTGTTGGATAATATCAACCCAGATTCAACTTATTCATTTAAATCTATCAAGCTTGAAAGATTGTGGTTGCCACATTTTTCGCAAAAACATGTTAAACAAAACATGAATGAAATGGGTTACTTTCAAAAACTTGATGTAGTACATTATTCCTGTACCGAGGGAAATCTTCAAATATCACAAATACACATTTGAATATGAAGAGGCACATGGTGTAATGGACTGTTACATACTACTTAAGATTCTTTACTCTTAGGTTTTTGATTCATAAACACAAGGTGTTATCACGTTATGCAATATATAAATCACCATCCTTAAAATAATTAACTTTGACCATTATAATGAACGTTGAGGACAGAAACATGTAAAGTCACAATAAGTTACGACGTCATACTAGATTATCTGCAATTTTAATCATCCCGAATGTGGAATATGTTTTCTAGATATATACTTTTACTGCAAGTAATGTAGGTGGAAAATGTACACGTACATGTAACTGGCAATGATTGATTATCACAATTCTTATGTTACTGGCAAAATATCATCACCCTAGGCCTCCTGGGTATTCAGGAGAAGTCGTTCAAAGATTTTAACATATTTGACCCCTGTGACCTTGAAAATTGATGATGGTCATTTATTTGAACAAACTTGGTAGCCCTTCCTTTCAGCATGTAACTGACCAAATTTAAGAACCTAGGCCTCTCAGTTATTCAGAAGTAGTCGTTTAAAGGTTTTAAACATATTTGACCCCTGTGACCTTGAATATAAATCAAGCTAATTTATTTGAACAAACTTCAGCATATTACTGGCCAACTATCATCACCCTGCGCCTTCTGGTTATTCAGAAGAACATATTTGACTCCTGTGACCTTGAAAATGGGCAAAGGTCATTTATTTGAACAAAAATTGACCACTGTGACTTTGAATATGAGTGAAGGTCATTCATTTGAACAAACTTGGTAGCCCTTCACCCCAGCATACTTCTGGCTAAATATCATCACCCTGGGCCTTTTGGTTATTCTGAAGAAGTTGTTTAAAGATTTTTTTACATATTTGACTCCTGTGACCTTGAAAATGGGCAAAGGTCATTTATTTGAACAAAAATTGACCCCTGTGACCTTGAATATGAGTGAAGGTCATTCATTTGAACAAACTTGGTAGACCTTCATCCCAGCATGCTACTGGCCAAATATCTTCACTCTGGGCTATTGGTTATTCAGAAGTAGTTTTTTAAAGTAAAAAGTTGACGCCGGGCGGATGCCGCGACGGATGCCGGACCGACGGACGACGCACCATGGCATAAGCTCACTTGGCCTTTCGAGCCAGGTGAGCTAAAAAAAGCGATGGATAAAATTTTGTAGTAAGCAAGTCTTCGATCCCTAGTCTCTGGCTGAACACAATGAGTATACCCTTTGAAAGCAAAATATTTCTATAGAAATCATCCTATAGAAATATTTTGTTTTAAAATTTCCATTTCCTAGTTACAATTTAAAACGGATACACATTTCGATTAAATCAGAATCCTATCTGTTTAACAGTAAACAAAACAAATTTGGATAAAAACTTCAACAATGTAAAACAGAAAATAAAAAAGATGTGTTGTTAGCTTATAATTATCCCATCCTGCCAAAAATAAAGACAGAATGAGGCAGTGCCGTAATCATGTAGAATGATTAACTTAAATATGAAAATGTTTGTTGAAAACGATGTTATCCAACATCTGATCACAGAAATTTGTGCACATGAAAAACAATGTCAATTACAAAAATAAAATATCCCTTAAAAACAATTTTGCTAAAAACTAAATCAATCTCATTATTGATCGATTAACCAGATGATATCAAATATACAGGAAGCTAAAAGGCCTTAATTAATGGCTCTCCTGCTCCTGACTATATCGTGCATACTCGATAAGATAAATGTAAATATAAGAAAAGCAAAAATGAAAACATTTAGTCGATAACAGACAGAAATGCTATGGTGAAACTCCTACAATATAAACATACACTTTATTTACATTGCAACATTTATGAAGAAAGTGATTTCAATCTTTACTAATCACTCTTGTTAGAGCGGATGTTAGGGTGCGGGGGTCTTAATGTGGATGGAAACCGGAGAACCCGGAAAAAACCCACGTGGTCGGTAAGGGTGACCACATACCTGTTCACGTCCAATCAGCGAATCGAACCCGGCAAACTTGGTGAAAGGCAAGTGCACTATCCACCGGGGCCGCCGAAAATACTTTACAATAAACCTCAAATAATATACATGTCAAAATTCTATTTCTAACATAACGTCCCCTCCCTTTGCTCTGCTCCTTGACCCCTGCTCCCACCTGTCCCCCCTTGACCCCTGCTCCCACCTGTCCCCCCTTGACCCCTGCTCCCATCTATCCCCTCTTGACCCATGCAAGACATTAACCAAATTTTATTAACTGCACCTATACCTAATAGCAGATATCAGTAAACCACCTAGGCCAACATTCTCCGGTAAACAGAAGTCCCCTTGGTCATCAGAATCAAGTTAAGTTATGATCCCCGCTACCATAGAGGAGTGCTCCCCATGTTGTATATAAATTCATATATTTCATTTCCCAGAACCTTCCTTATACTATCCACCGTTTGTACATATTTATGTTGTAGAGAACTTCCAAGGTTGTCCTTTTTCAGATAACGGGTATCAAAGAACACTCTCGGTATGCATTTTTACGTATTTGGTGTCGAAGGACCGTCTTCACGTAGCACGATATTACATCATCTGAAATTACAGAAGCTCAATGGAGTTGTCTACGGTGAGATGACACCAAGTTCAAAGATCCCCATAATGTCCATTAAGATGTTGTATACCGTTGTCCTTGGTTGTCCATAGTCATATTCATTTTGTATTGCAATATATTTCCTTGCTACATTGTTACACGTTTGCATCTGTTACATGAGGAACCTTCCCAGTGTGGTCCACCATTAATAATAAATAATAATAATAAATAATAGATTTTAATTAAATATGATAACACATTGAGTCAAGGACGGGACTCATCTCACATGTGGTCGACATAAAATATACAATTTTACAACATGAGTAAAAAATAGATACATAGCATACATGCACACATAAAATACATTAGGTTAAGAAAATAAATAAATAAGTAGCATATCACAGGTAGGATTAAGGTGTCACAGGTTTGGAAAGTCAAGAATATGTCACATGTGTAATTATACAACTAGTGAGCAGATCAAATGTCATGCAAAGCATAAGTTCTCAAAATGCATTTTAGAAACTGAGGGGCACATATTGTGTCTAATATACATATATACCAATCTGGCAAATTGTAGAAACTGACCAAATATATATGCTCATATAGCATGAGCTAAGACTAAAACAAGATATTGCAGATCATAAAAATAATTTTTAAAAGTATAATTGTAAACCTAAAATTATTACACATTTGACATAGGCACAGGAAAACAGCATAAAACCTTAGGAGATATATAATTATCTATTCCCATCACATTTCTGTTTGTATGTATTGTTTAAATATTCAGTGTCCGACTTTCAGCGACAGATACTGGCAGGCTGTTCCAAAGGGTGGGACCATTGTATCTAAAAAGAATTTTTATTTTTTTCTGTTTTGTGTTTTATCTGCTTATTGCAGCTGATATGGTTTGAATGGAGTGAACACTGCTTACTAGTGTTGCAATTTAGATAGTTTGGACACAATTTGTTTAGCACTTTAAACATTAAAACACATGCATTCATTATATTCTATTCTTTGGGTAAAAGGCAACCATTTGAGTTTGACAAATACGTGTGCACTGGGAACACTATAAGCCACATTTAAGATGATTCGAAGGGTACTTTTTCAATTCTTTCAAGTTTACTTACTAATTTTTTAGAGCAATATCCCCAAATTTTTGAACAAAAATCAATGTATGGTAGAATAAAACAATTGTAAAATGTGATTCTGGCTGACACTGGAAGGATTTTTTTAATCCTACATAATTGATAAATTTATAAAATTTATTTTCTTAAGCACATCTTGTACATGTTTATCCCAAGTTAGGGTGTCATCAATGCATACTCAAGGCAGCTTTTCATGCTTAACATTCTGTAGGTTTGAGTTATCAGCTACAATAGAAAGACCTTTTGTAAGCCTTTGTTTCTTCTGCTTACCTCCAATTAACGTAACTTTGGTTTTCTCGGTATTTATGACCATTTTATTCATATAGCACACCAGTTTTGCACCTGTATAAAATCGTTCTGTAGGTCCGATTCAGTGACATTTATGTTTTTGTGTGCTTTCTACATGGTAGTATCATCTGCATACATACAACTGACAATGTTTAGAGCAAAGTGGCAAATCATTGACATAAATTAAAAACATCAATGGCCCGAATATTGAACCCTGAGGGACACCGGTTGTAATTTCACAACAATTACTTAGTGAATTTTTAAAAAATACCTTTTGAAACATATTTAATAGGTAAGAGGTATTATATTATAGCATCTTTGGAACATCCATAAATTTTCATTTTTTGCAGTAGAATTTTATGGTCTACGAGGTCAAAAGCGTTACGGAAATCAATATACATGTGTACATCACACCAATAAGGTTTCCCTTGTCCAGCTCATTATACCAATTATTTGTTAGTGCAGTATAAGGGCAGTCTGACATGAGTGCAAATTTCGAAATCCAGACTGGTTTTCAATGAGCAAATGATAAGTGTTTAAGAACTGGTAAAGAGTAGACTGTACATGTTTTTCAATTAATTTAGATAGTACTGGAACAATAGATATTGGTCGATAATTACTGACGGAAGTTAAATGTACTGTAGAATAATTCCCAGTTTATGTGTATTTAATCTATTTATGTTGTAAAACCTACTTCCAATTCTCTATCTGTACATAATTTTACGTCATTAAACTATTTCAAGACTATTCACTATTTACTAGATGAAGTCATTGCAATTTGTCCATTGCAGGATATGTTGATGTTATACTTGTAGCACTCTTCCAAGGTTGTCCACTGTCACATGTATTTGATTTCGTAGAACTTGACTGTCCCATTTTTGTGAGCTACAGCCAGAATCTTCTGGTCCATACTTATACTGATGGAATACTTTATCTCTGTGTTACCCTGTCGTTCCAAACTGATATCCCCACTCAAACATTTGCGCATGTCACCTGAATGTGATGTTATATATACGTCCCCACATGAAGCATCTAGTATGAGCAAACTTTTCAGCTGGGGAAGTATTGCGATTCCTTGCGGTTCCTTCAGTGAATGAAACTTGTGACCTCGCAAAACCTCAGGGGCGTTTCTGGTGTTTTCAATGTCGTAAACCATGGCTTCATGGTTATGTATATCACAAAATGCCAAGAATTTCGACTCTGTTATCGCCAAACATCTAGGAACCATAAAAGATTTCTTCAGGTTGATGTATTCTATAACTTGTCCTTGCATGTTTAAAATATCAATCCTTGCTGCTGAGAATGGTGGCCCCCTTCCACAAATGAGTCTTTCACTAGTTTTACAACACCCGATACTCAAATACTTTCCACTTTTCATTGTCCTTTGTAGAGTAGCTGGCGGGCCACTTGGAGTGTTAGAGAAATTTACAAAGACTAGCTTTCCTTCATTCGGACACGTCACCACACACAATGTTTCCGTCACACCGGCGACATTCCACGGTACCATCTTATCGAACAGGTACTGAGCGACAATGTTCATAGAATCATACATCACACGCCTAACACAACAGTGTGTTTGGTCGACGACGACGAAGAATTCTCCAAGCATGGCTATACCTACTAAGGAAGGAACATGATTGTCTCCCATTATTTTTGTATCCATTTCTGATTTAAACTTCAACATGGTAATAGTTGTTGCATCCCGGGGAATAGGAGCCATGGAGCATGGACGCCGTGGATAATGGAAATCAGGTAGATGAGAGAAAGCAGCCATGGACACTGGAGGTGCAGATGGTTGTAAAGGGGGAACCTTGTAAAGCGTGGGGTAAGCTTGCTGGTTAAAGTTGGTCGGGTAATTAGGAGAATGTGGGTTGTGGTAAGAAGGCCTAGGACTTGCAGAAGGCGTGAGTGGATCATTGTAGATCGGCACTGGTGGGTTGGATGCAGATCCTTTGCGTTTCACAATGGATGTTTTGAAAGGACGTCGTCTTTGTATGAAGGACTGACGGACTACATTTCCGTATGCTGGTAGTGGTTCGTCATCAGCGGGTGGAGGAGACGGTTCTTCCTGAGCATGTTGTCCGATTAGGGAAGACCCAGATGCCTGCTGATCAAACCAACCTTCCTGTTCAAATGTTACAGCAGATGCATCACTATGACAACTGTCGATCACTTCGATTCTCACGATATCTGTGTTGGTTAGTTTGTCCTCCAACTCTGTGTTGATAATGAATCTTACATTGTAGTCGGTGTCGACGTCTGATTGTAGTTGTGACAGCATCTTTTTAAAACCTTCACAATCTTTTCGTAAGTGATTCATTATCACCAGGTTTTCCGCTGCATTTGTAGAACTTCATTCATGTACAACATGTGCAAGTCGCTGTCGCGATTCTACTGAGGTCACCATCTTTGAGCAAACACCTATGTCATTCTCCAAGTGTGCTTTCTCCTTCTCTTCCAGCTTCATTTTTTTTTCTAGTACTTCCCGTTCTTGCTCCTCCAGATATTTCACAACCTTTTCTTTCAGATCTGAATAATATAACTTGATTGTTTCAACACGCTCTGGGGAGTTGTGACAGATGTTCCCTACTTTTGAATTTAGATCAGTGTGAACAGTTTCTGCTTCAGACAGGAAATCTGTTAAATCTGCAGTAACTTTTCGGATGTCGCTATATGCTTCCATACGCATTCTCTTGTCTATTTGGCGCAGGTGACAGTGTGGATGCATCTCCCGTTTACATTGTGTGCACACAAGCAGGTTACAATCTGGACAGAAGTAACCGCACAGACTGTCAGTATGAATGGTGCATGGTACTCTGTTGATTCCATCTGCATTATATATTGGCTGCGGTTTCTCGCCATCTTTGAAAAATAGACGGACATCCCTCATCAGAGAATCCTCCTCCAGTATCAGTAATGTATCCTGGGTAATAACTGTTTTTTGTTCCTCTGGCAAATGCTTATAGTGACACACCGGACACGGAAACGAAGCTTTGCCAAAGTAGTGAGTGATGTAGACTACCAGACATTCGTGGCAGAAGACATGTTGACATTTGAGCTTCTTTGGGTAGGTAATAGATTCCTGACAAATCCCACACTGGTAAAATGTCTGCAGGACCTCCTCCATGTTGCATGTGAATTTAGTTACGAACAAGAATTCATCTCAGTAGTTTTGTGCATCATGTTTTCATTGTTATGGGATCGACATCGAAACAAAGCATGGCTTCATTACATCTGCAAAACAGAAGAAAAATACATCAAGTTTTATGGTGACGCACGTGGTGCTTGCCAAGTTGTACTTTGTTAAGTTTTATCAGACGGTCATCATACTGAAATAACCAGCATTAAGACCTACCTTAGGAAGTCCAAAAAGTGGTTACTCAACACAGGTGCTTTCTTTATAAAGGCTCAGTTCACAATGAAAACACTACCATGGGGCATATGAAAGTGATCTTTTAGTGATGGTTGTCACATGAGCAGATTTGAGTGTTTACCCAATATTCCGTATTACTGGAGCTAGTTTACAAAGGCTTCTAAATTACATCAATCATTACGTCATGTACGCAACTACAGGTCAAGTGGAACACTTTATCTTTAGATATAAAATAAATTGTAATTATTGTATCTGCAAACGATGCTTCCCCTAGTATACATGTTTGCTGATAATCTTATGGAACAAAAGGCCCATCAGGATTTTTTTTATCATCGGTTTTAACTAACAAGTTCATGTATGTTATCATTTGAGACCAATGCGATCACCTCAGTTTTCTTATTGGCCAGAATAAGTAACAAGAGGCCCAAGAGGGCCTGTATCGCTCACCTGAATATTTATAAGCAGTCATAGCAAAATAGTCTCATTAAATATTATATTGCACTAAAAATATTTCCCTCACAATTTTTTTGTTGGCTCCATCTGTTGAAACTACCAGCAAAATATTATTATAAGATTCTATGCTTTTTAATTCTTCTTCAGAAGTTGCTTGACATATTTTTTTTTCTGTGACCTTGTAAGTAGGTCAATGTCATATTTTCCTTCCCTTATTGGTTAGCTCTATTCCAAAAGGCTACCAGCCAAATCTAATGAATCCATTTCTTTTAGTTCTTAAGAACAAACCCTTTAAAATGTTGTTGACCTCTGTGACTTCTAAAGTAGGTTGAGGTCATTTTCATTCGCAAACTTTGGTGAGCTCTATCCCAGGAAGTCACCAGCCAAATATTATAAACGTATGCCTTTTAATTCTTCATCAGAAGTAGTTTGAACTGTTTGACATATTTGAATGCTGTGACCTTGAAAGTAAGTCAAGGTCATTTTCATTCTCAAACTTTGTTGGGCTCTTTCTTAGGAAGCTTCGAGCCAAATATTAAGGTTCTATACCTTCCAGTTCTTCAGAAGAAGTCGTTTAAAGTGTTTGACATATCTGCCTCATGTGACTTTAAAAATAAGTCAAGGTCATTTTCGTTTTCAAACTTGTCAGGCTCTATCCCAGGAGGCCATCAATCAAATATAAAGATTCAATAACGTTCAATTCTTCAGAAGAAGGCGTTTGAAGAATTTGACATATTTCACCCCTGTGACCTTGAAAGTAGGTCAAGGCCATTTTTATTCGCAAACTTTGTTAGGCTTATTCCATGGAAGCTACCTATTAAATGTCTCTAAACCTATCGGTATTTCAGAAGAAGTTGTTTGAAGGTTTTTACATATTTGACCCCTGTGACCTTGAAAGTAGGTGAAATTCTGTTTTTTTTGCAAACTTTGTCGGGCTTCATATATAAGGAAGCTACCAGACAAATATCATGACTCTATGCCTTCTGGTTCTTCAGAATAAGTCGTTTAAAGGAAAGTTGACGGACACCGGACAGACGCCGGACGACAGACGCCGGACGGACGGACGCCGCGCCAACAGAACAGCAGTTGGTAATGACAACGACAGGAACATTCACACAAACTTTGTTTGGTTAAGATAAAACAGGAGGATATCGAAGTGTCAAAACTATAATTCAAATTCAAAATCAGTAAAACCAGGGCAAAGATGATGACCAAAGGAAGGATTTACGTTTGTACATGGACACCCTTGAAAATGCACATGTAGAATATAAGACCAGGTGTTTGGAAGGAAAAGCGTCCTAATAGATCTCAGATCTCGTGCAATTGAAAACAAGTAAAAAAAGTCATGGCCAATCAGCGGATAAGATAGCTGTATTTATTATAAAAAATACTAAAAAAAACAGCACTTGATCAAGACCATGAGAGTGTTATTCATGTTGAAGCGTGGTTAGATGGCTAGATCTGGCTAGATGGAAGTTGGTAAGTTACAAATGCCGCAGATAACAGGTGACCATCGCTTAGTGGGCTTTGGTTCCCCAACATGATAACGACCATATTTCATTACTTTGTTACTTTAACTTTTAAGCATTATTAGAACAAGTCATTTTAAGACTTTATAACACATTTGACCCCTATGATATTTGAACAAAATTCAAAGCTAGCCAATCACAGCATATCATTCTGTAAGGCAAAATATCATAGCCATAGGTATAGACTATTGGTTAGTCTGCTGAAGTTGGTTATAGGCTTGAACATTTGACCTCATTAACCTTGAAAGATCGAGGGTCAAGGCCGTGCTCATGAAAATACCTTGAGAGCCCTCAGCCCAGGACATCACAGGAAAATTATCAGGATGCTTGTCCGTTTGGTTTTCAAGGGTCATGTATAGGTTTTGACACATTTGACCCTGGTAACCTGAAAGTGGGTCAAGTTCATTGATTTCAAAGAATTTGACAGCCTTTCATTGCAAGCCAAATATCATTATCTTAGGCCATATCTACCATATCTGAATAAGAAGAGTTTTGAAATTTTAGTCAATTTGACCCTTTTTGGCCCCGCCCCTCAGGCTCCTCGGGGCTGGGGACCATATAATTCACAATTAAAATTTAGTAAAGTTTACCCCCTTATCGGGGGAAACGCGAGACCCCAGGGTCATGAAATTCACTATTTTGGTAAACCACCTTAAGATCCTTTCATCTATGAAGAGTATTTGATTCTACCATATCTGGGTCTTGAGAAAAAGATTTTTGAAAAAGTGATTTCAGTCAATTCAACCCTTTTTGGCCCCACCAATCAGCCCCTGGGGGTCAGTCAAGGCTGATATATGCATACCATTAAACTGCTATCCAATGCTGATAATGCTAGCCAAGTTTGAATTAATTCCAATGGAAATTAAACAAATGTTGGTCCAAAATGTGATTTCCCTATATAAACTATAGTAAAGTTTACCCCCTCCCAAGAGGGAAACGTGAAACCCCAGAGTCATGAAATTCACATTGTGGTAAAGCACCTTGCTTAAGACCCTTCCATCTATGAAGAGTATTTAATTCTAACATATCTGGGTCTTGAGAAGAAGATTTTTGAAATTTCAGTCAATTCAACCCTTTTTGGCCCCACCCATCAGCCCCTGGGGGTCAGTCAGGGCTGATATGTGCATACCATCACATTCTATCCAATACTGATAATGCTTACCAAGTTTAAATTAATTCCAATGGAAATTAAACAAATGTTGGTCCAAAATGTGATTTCCCTATATAAACTATAGTAAAGTTTATCCCTTCACCAGGGGGAAACATGATCATGAGACCCCAGGGTCATGAAATTCACTATTTTGGTAAAGCACTTTAAGACCCTTCCATCTATGAAGAGTATTTGATTCTACCATATCTGGGTCTTGAGAAGAAGATTTTTGAAATTTTAGTCAATCTGACCCTTTTTGGCCCTGCTGCCCATCAGCCCCTGGGGGTCAGTCAGGGCTGATTTGTGCATATCAACAAACTGCTATCCAATACTGATAATGCTAACCAAGTTTGAATTAATTCCAATGGGATTCAAACAAATGCTGGTCCAAAATGTGATTTCCCTAGATGAACTATTGTAAAGTTGACCCCCTCGGACGACGCCCGATAAACGGCGATCGCAACATAGGTCACTTGAGACTTTGTCAATTACACATGAAATAAAGGGACCTGAAGGTCAATTATTAGTGTTTACATGAATCTTAAACAGGTTGGGCACAACGCCACATATGGGTAATAATCCTGCATTTTGGCGACAGTTACCAATTTCAGTAACAATCTTATTAATGAAATGGGGAGTATAAAGTGAAATAATAACACACAGAGTTATTTTAAACACTTTGGACCAAAAAGGGTGTTATTCTTTCAACTAATTATATATCCAACAAATAACACAATGAAGTACATTTGCACATAAAAAATTAACAATTCTTATGTCTAACTTTTTGTGAAAATGACAAACCATATCACTGTTTTTATTCTCTCCATTGACTTCAATGTGTAGTCAATGGGATCATCCAGTGCAAATGTGAAAGGTGAGCTACTCCTATAACATAAGAGACCGCTGGTCAGCCTTTTGCCTATTGGATATGATTCGCTGACTGCGTCAAAGGTATCTCTCCTTGTAAACCTTTAACATTGTTGGAGTAACAGGTCAGCATGATTTTTTTCTGTGTGCTATTTATCAGGTTAGGCACAACCCTATATATGTAATAGCAGCACATATAAGTAACAATTCCACAACTGTGCCGTAAATACATTAAGCATCATATGAATAATATTGCACATGCTTTTTGCTTTTCAAATGCCTGACGGCTGTACATGTACAAGTGAAAACTGCACTATGTCAGACACAGTTTACTCCAGTAGTGTTAGAGGTTTACACAAGATCTATACTTTAGACAGGCGCTGTGTATCCTCTAACTGTTGGAAGCACGGTAATCTAGTGGTAGGACGCCGTTCTCGTGACCGAAGGGTTGCGGGTTCGAGTAACGGCACGGCACTGTGTTGTATATATCTTTAAGCAAGATACTTTACTCCGCTTGTTCCATCTAATCGGCTGTAAATGAGTATGTGGTTGGGCAGTGCTAGCATTGTAGAATGCTAGCTGTGAGCACTGAAATGGTAGCATGGCTGTATGCTCCCCAGGGTGTCGAGAAAGATATTGGCTGGTTGCAAAGGCCCTATAAAAATAACCACGGATAATAATTTGTGAACTGCTTTGCTACGACCTATGAACTAGATGGTGATAAAGCGGTATATATATAATAACCTCGATTTATTACTGCCCATAGCTGATTTTTCCCGATGCTGACAATCAAATTTTCAAAGTTTGGATTTAGAAAAAGTATATCACGTTTACATACATTTAAATGTTCAACAGGGTACAATAAATATTCCTTTCCTAAAACCATGATTAAATGAGAAGAATTGTGTGGCAAAGACATAAATTGTGAGCTTTTCCTATTTCGAAGGGAAGCAGACAGCATTTGCCGTGACTTTCTGGTTAATACAAAATTGGATCACATGTAATGTTCTACAAGCAGAATACAAACAAACTCTGTATCATTTCGTTCTGAAATCCCCCCTGGTATTTTGTATTAACCCAAGAAGCCATGTTTTAAAAGTTGGTCAGAGAAGTGCACGAACATGCAACAACAGGGATATGTATTTCGAGTGTTCTATTCTGTAATAAACTATATATTTGTGTCTGTGCACGTGGCATACATACAAATGTATGAGATCTATATTATAGGACTCGTGAGTGGACATCGTTGTCATGAACTTTTAAGCACTTAAGTGAGTTTATCATGCCAATTTTGTTCCGCCTAGATTTAGGGCTTCGGAAATAAGAGCTGGCAAAATCATATGCAATAGAAAAAAAGGCTTACCAGCGGCTTCCTATTTTATAGGAGTAGGACATAGTGTAGACCGAGTTTCTTCTGGCCCTAACACCAGACTTTGACATATATAATATATAGANGGGGGGGGGGGGGGGGGGGGGGGGGGGGCAGAGTGCACTGCTATATGAAAACATGAGATTCTCTGACACCGTTTGGTATTGGGGAGTGACTTAATTATCAACAAAAAGACGTGGTGTGAAAATCTAAACAAGACTGATATATGCAGGTCTAGGTCCGGATCAGTATAGTTTGCTATTTAGTCACCACATGACCTACAAAAATGGGAAATTTTGAACGATTGAAAATTGATGACTCTACTGACGGAATTAAGTACATGTAGCTGTTAGTGATAATAAGAGCTGATTTGGATCAATAAACAATCCAGTTATCGATATATGTGAGGTATGAGTTTTGTCATAGTAGATTTTTGTTGTCAACACCTCATAACTCTCCGATACCAAATGGTGTCGGAGGTATATTTTTAGTATTTAATGTTATTATTAATTATTGACAGAACTTCAGGCTCCTGTGGAGAATTCCCCGTCTGGCCCCACACCAGACATCTATATCAGTATATGTCAAAATGTCTAAGTCTAGGGTTAGAGCCATTTGGAAACTCTAGCCCAAGTTTTTGGCTTCATTTCATGAAACAGACTATACGGAACAAGTATTAGAAAACATATAACGTTTATCTCCCTTGTATATTAACGGGCAGTATCTAAATTGGATTGTCTCCCTTGCATTTCATGACCTCAATATTCGCCTGTACTGAATACTTCCCACCTCTCACAATGGAAAACTGTGGGCAATAAATCACCTGCTACCACGGTCCACTACACACATAATCCCCTTTCATGTCCAATCATGATTACATGACCGTGAAAGGGGGTGTGCCCAGTGGACTGTGGTCACAAATGCTGTAAGAAAGGGGAGATAATCAATAAGTAATTAACGATGAAGTCAATGCAGTGGAAAAAACTAAACTTAGTTGACACATTTAAAATAAGAAAAAAAAAAATTAAAAATGGTAATTTCATGATTGAAAAACAAACAATAAAAATTATCGAGTTGGCAGCGTTATTGATTTCCTTATCACGTGAGAGGATAAGCATTTCCTGGAAAAGTTTATGATCTTTAGGAGCTGTTTCTTTATACAAAATAGCACATTCAAATATACCATTTATTGAAAGAACTGGAATTCCTTGTGGATTGATAAACCCTTACATTGTTTGTATGAAAAAGGTTTCAATATATCCTGTACCTTTGCCATATCTTGAAAATTAAACTGAAAATGTAGTCAGAAATTCAACATTGTTTCCCGTATTTTGTTCTAATTGTTGAACAGACACTCGATCCTTACCTTCCCTGACACTGGAGCTGGATAGTACTGTAATCCAAAAACACTTGTATCCATTATGAAGGATACACTCAGACTGGGCTATTGAGAATAAAGAAAAAAATACCTGGTTCTGATTAGTACTCACTCAAACAGGTACATGCAAATTATCTGCAGTGTAGGGTAGGTCAAAAGATTGTCCAGGTGAACATTTTTTTATTTACTCAATTTTTCTGTTTTGTTCGAGCTGGGAAGCATGCAGTAAGCAAGCAGTATTGCATGATCCCTCGCTTCGCTCAGGTGTAATAAATCCGTTGTTACTCGAAAACCTTGCAATAATCTTTATTTACCTGTGGACATTAATAAATTAGCATATATATGAGTGACTAATGAAAAGCCTTCGTTTATGTGAAAGGAGAATTATTATTGGTGGAATCACGGATTATCCGTGTCCGTGGTGGAATCTACAATTGTATTTTTAGCTGATATGCCTATAGTTCATTTGATGTTCCCTCATAATTTTATAGCGGATTCCACTTAAGCACTTTACAACAACCAAACTTACCATAGGGTGGCTCCGGTTTAGTCCTTAGACTTTTTCTTAGAAGTCATAGGCCTACTTTCACAATAGCCCACCCGACACAACACGCCGTCACCTGTCGTTTCACCCAAGGGTGGTAGCCCAAGTCTTGTACGCCGTTCCCGGTCCCGGGCTAAAAACCCGTGCTAGAAATATAAAGATTCTTAAATATCGCTTTAACGCAGTAGTTGTTATATATTTTTGAAATATACAATAATTTCAAACATTATTTTCTAAATGTGGAAATTAGTGGGGGGGGGTTTTGTGCGGGGNNNNGGGGGGGGTCTGATAATTTAGAAATTGACGATAATGTGTATTTCAAGGGGGTAAAACTTGTTGGCCGCAGTCAAAAATTTATTTTCAGATATTTAGAACAAAATACCTGACTGTTTATAATATTGTAAATTTCGTTGAAATAAACGACATATTTCACATGGAATTCTGACTTTGTTGTGATCTCGGGCGAGGATCGCGGGTGTTTTGTTTACTACCGTAACCGTGCTAAGGGGACATCACTCCGTCAAGCTATGTCATCAGAAAAAGACTAGTGCTATTCAATGGTGTCGTCAGTAATAACAATTATATTTCACGAGTGTGGCTAATATTTTGATATTTTACACGAGTGCGCAGCACGAGTGAAAAATATTAAAATATTACTGAGCCACACGAGTGAAATAAAAAACATAGGATATTTAAATTAATGGTGTCGTCAGTAATAACAAATATATTTTACGAGTGTGGCTAATATTTTGATATTTTACACGAGTGCGAAGCACGAGTGAAAAAATATCAAAATATTAGCCACGCTCGTGAAATATATTTGTTATTACTGACGACACTATTAAATATCCTTTTTTTTTTTTTTTTTTTTTTTTTTTTTTTTTTTTTTAATTCATTGAACCCTTGGAGATCATATTTAAAAAATCGATTGAAGAAGGAAAGATTCCAGACGGCTGGATTAAAAAATCGATTGAAGAAGGAAAGAGTCCAAACGGCTGGGGGACTACCCATGTAACACCTATCTTCAAGAGCGGAAACCACAACAAAGTTGAAAACTACCACCCAATAAGTCTTACATCTATACCAGGGAAAATCTTACAAAACTGATTCGCGACAAAATTGTAGAACACATGGACAATAACAACCTCTTCACTCTCCACCAACACGGTTTTCGATCTTGGAAATCCTGTACAACAAACCTATTGGAAGTAATGGAACACTGGGCAGAGACAATAGACAAAGGAGAGAACATTGATACTATATACTTAGATTTCAGTAAAGCATTTGACAAAGGCCCTAACAAATACTTACTGAAAAAAATTCAAGGGTACGGAATAACTGGCAAAATCCTCCAGTGGATTCAAGATTTCCTCTCAAATCTAAAACAACGAGTATCCGTAAACGGTACGTATAATAATAGTAAAATATTTTATTTAAGTGTCACACATATTTTACATAACACATCACTTACATAACAAAAATACACATATGCAAAATATGCCCAGCCATACTGACATACGAGACGCTACTTAAAATGTATATATATTAAAACATAGAATCTATTAATGGTGAATTGTCTGGCCTGGTTGATGTAACGAGTGGTGTGCCCCCGGGTAGTGTCCTTGGTCCAGTTCTTTTTTTAATTTACACCAATGATGTAGTAAAACTTTTTGCTGACGACTCAAAACTATTTAAAAACATCTCTAGGCAAACAGGGTCTGCAGAACCACAAACTGATATCAATAACATCGTCCAATGGATATCAGATTGGAAAATACCACTAAACACCAAAAACTGTAAACATCTAAATATTGGTAACCTAAATCAAGATTATACCTATTACTTCCCCTCAGGTGAACAGTTTAAGAAAGTTACTAAAGAGAGAGACCTGGGCCCAGTTGTTCAAAAGGGGGTTAGCTTAATCACAGTTTAACGATATTTTTCAACCTTCAATCATTTTGTCAATTTACAAGGTAAAATCTCACAATTTTGCATGTATATTCACTATACTAACTATTATAGAAAGTTGTAACTAATTCAAAGGCTGAGTCTTAAAGATACACAAAAATTAAGATTTGCTCTAATCGATGATTAAGCTAATCACTTTTTGAACAACTGGGCCCTGGGTGTAACAATTGACACCAAACCGAAATGTAACCACCATGTGAGTCAATCAGTTAACAAAGCAAATCGCACACTAGGACTAATCTTTAGGACATTTACTTACCTGGACAAAACTATGTTTCTTACACTTTACGAGAGTCCCATTAGGCCAAACTTGGAATATGCTACCCAGGTCTGGTCCCCTTTTCGGAAAAAGGACCAAATAGCCTTAGAAAATGTGCAGCGCAGAACTACCAATAGAATTCAATCTCTAAAAACACTTTCGTATAATTTAAGAATACGAAGACTAGGCCTACCTACATTGGAACATAGAAGAAAACGCAATGATCAAGTAGAGGTTTACAAATTAATCAACAACATTGATATATTTGATAAAGATAAACTATTCACCTTTACACAAACGACAACAAGGTGAAACAACAAAATATTTTTTAAAAAAAGAGCAGGACCAGGGTCACTCAAAATGTTTTTTAGTAGAAAAGTGGTGGATTCTTGGAACTCCCTTCCCAACTCAGTAATAGAAGCCCCATCTATAAACTGTTTTAAATCTCTGTTAAACACTTTTTGGAAAAATATACCGTTCAAGTGTTATCCCAGTTTTTATGCTACACAATCGGTTACCAGTATGTTACCGAACCAAGATGCGCCTACATTAGCTACTCCAAGTTAACAACGGTGTCGACGAAGAGGTAAACAGGTAAACAGGTCAGGTTATAGTATTGCAGCTTAGTTAGCTAGGTTAGTCAGCATTGTGATTTAAACATAAAACATGACTAAAGCAGGTATTTTTAGTTTTTATGATATATTTGTAATTTTCTATTCAACTTAAAACTTTTGTTAAAAAAAAAGCTATTTTTTAAAGTATTTGTATCCTATTAAAATTTAAAATGTGTAGTGAGTAAACTTAAAATTCCTTTTGAAAAAAAAACAATTATTTCAATCATAAAAACTATTTTTTAAAGTTATAAAAATAATCATTTTTTCTTATGATAACCAATCATAATGATGATCATGAATTTTTATTTTGTGGACTATAATTAATCTTATATATATATATAGTTTTTTTAAAATAGGGCTCTTGTGTAGAACTGCGTCCTGTTCGCAGAGCCTAGTAACATTCTAAAAGAAATATGTGGCTAAGAGTTCTATGATAACGACATAGCTTGACGGAGTTATGTCCCCTTAGCACAGGTACGGGAGTAAACAAAACACCCGCGATCACAACAAAGTCAGAATTTTATGTGAAATCTGTCGTTTATTTCAACGAAACCTACATAAATATAAACATTAAGGTTTTTTGTTCTATATATCTAAAAATAACTTGTTATTTTTCACTAAATTTCTAATTATATGTGAAAAACCGTGATTTTCACGGTTGACTGCGGCTTACAAGTTTTACCCCCTTGAAATACACATTAACGCCGATTTCTAAATTATTACATAATTTTTAAAAAATAGAAAAAAATCTTCATTTAGAAAACAATGTTTATAAATTATTGTATAATTTAAAAAAATATATAAACTACCGCGTTTAGGAGATATTAAATGATCTTTATATTCTTGGTACGGGATTTTAGTCCGGGACCGGGAACGACGTACAAGATTTACCTACACCTACCTTGACAATTAGCAAATCAAAACATGCGTTATATAGAGAATAATACATGCCTTTTCCATATCACACCCAGTATCAACCCGAGACTGCAATATCAGCCCAAGGGCCGAAGGCCCGCGGGCTGATATTGGTCGAGGGTTCATACTGGGTGTGATATGGAAAAAGGCGTGTTTTATTCTGTTTATTACATACTTACTAATAAAAACTACTATCTTCTGATTTATTTTCATTTTTGAAATATTGAAAAACGATTTTTTTTCCAAATGAGGTGTGATATGGGTTTTGCGGGCTGATACGGGTTTTGGGGGGTGATACGGCGAGGGCTGATATGGGTTAGAGCAATTGTGTCGTATCGCATATACAAAAAACCCGTATTTATTAGTTAATATGTAATAACTTAATATTGCTTCAGGGCGAGTACAAAACCCGTAATGCACTCAGGTGTGAAGACATTTTTGATGATTTTTTGTATTAAATAGGCTCTCAATACATAATGGATTTTTATTCGGAAACCAGCATAAGAAAGATAAGTTTATACTCGTTACAGTGGTATAAGTTATGCTAAGCAGTATTTTAAATTAAAAGTTAAAGCGGTGGCCGGAAAGAACCGTATGAAATAAAAATGGCAATATTTTCAACAATATTCGTTCAAATAAATACTCATATCTCTAATAATACTGAACNGGGGGGAACCCAGGAATTAATTTTGGGTGTTGCCCAAAATTTTAAACTCAGAAAAAGATATTTTTTTGCACTTATCTAGAACTAATAAATTAGAATTGTCATGTCGGTTGTACATGTATACTACTTTCTGGCACAAAAAAATAAATAGAACTTCATTATTTCTGAGATTGTGACAATTATGATTTCCAAGCCGAGCAGAGCGAGGCGAGGTTTTTTTTCTGAAGATGTAATACTATACTATTTCAAGCACTGCCGAGCGCAGATAGCAAGAATTTATCGGACATTATTTCCATTGTCAAACAGATCGCGTGAGGCGTAGAATAATTTTCTGAGTTTCAAGGTTATATTTTATAACGTAGAGTACTTATATTTTAAGATTGCCCTTGGGAGCGAGTGTTTACAAATTCTGTAAAATAAGTGGGGAAAATGTAGGTTTTTGGTTTAAAATGTTGATGCTTGTGTCATGCCCTTCATGTGCATGTAGTTTATGCGAGCATTTTGGCAATTAAATATTGATTTATTTTGTCATAAATATGAATTATGATTTAACTGTTTGTCTTTTATTGTGAATGTGTACGCATACATATGTACAAGACCTAATGAAAAGGATGTACACGCCAGGCTTTTATGCTAACATTGGTTATTATTCATCTGATATTCGACATGTGTGTGAGAGTGACGATAGTTTGAGGAGCGACGCTGGCGCGGATCGTTTATTTCCCGCATATTATAGAGGGCCGGAGCTCTGACGTTAATCGACGACAGACCGATATAAAAAAGTCGATAAAACGTCAGTATAATTCGGACTACTATTTTGTGTAAACTTTTTAACAATATATTGGAATGTGGTCTCTATCCTGCTGGTTGGGCAGTTGCTGTAATTACACCGGTACATAAAAAGGGTGACCTAAATGACCCTAACAATTTTAGAGGTATTAGTATAGTTAGTTGTTTGGGAAAATTATTCACTTCTGTTTTAAACAATAGACTTTTAAAATGGTCAGAAATATATGATGTAATAACTGATGCTCAATTTTGGATTAGACCTGGTCTAAGTACAGTAGATGCTATATTTTGTTTACATTCTATTATATCCAAATCATTTATTAATAAGAAAAGATTGTATTGTTGCTTTGTCGATTTTTGTTAAGCATTTGATATGGTAAATAGAATAAATTTATGGAATAAGCTATCAAAACTTGTTATAAGAGGAAAGCTCCTAAAAGTTGTATGGTCTATGTACTCTCATGTTAAATCTTGTGTTAAATAAGATGGAAAGTTGTCTGATTTTTTTCTTAACAGGGTTGGATTATTACAAGGTGAAATTTTGTCATCCAAATTTTTTTCTATGTATATAAATGATTTTGAATCATATTTTATGCAAAATTGCAAGGGTAGTTATGAGTTTGAGGAACTCATTTTATATCTGATGCTATATGCTGATGATCTAGTATTATTCTCTCAGACTGTAGAAGGTCTCCAAGATATGCTTGACAATTTAGAAAAGTATTGTACTGAAAGGAATTTTACTGTAAATGCTGAAAAAAACAAAAAATGTAGTTTTTAGAAAAGGTTGAAGATTACATAATGATGAAAAATGGTATTACAAAGGAAGTAAAGTCGAATGTGTGGATCAATTTCCTTACCTAAGGGTTATTTTAAATCACAACAATAAATTCAATTCTATCCAAAAACAATTAGCTATCCAAGGACGAAAAGCTGTGTTTAAGCAGTAACCTTTTCTATGCAAGTGAAATTTGGTGTATGCACCAAGCTCCAGAGATAGAACATGTACATTTACATTTTTGTAAGAAATTACTAAAAGCGAAGATCTTGAATTGGGATGGTTACCTCTAGTTTGGATGAGAAAAATTAGAATGATAAAATATTGGTTTAAGATACTAAAATC